TATGCCGAAATAATAACTTAACCGGATCGGCCGAAAAATCATTCGGCTTTTTACAAGTGTCCCAAGAATTATGTAAAATTGTTTTTGAAATTTAACCCGGCCGGGTTATGAGATCCGATTAATTAAGTTTGTATGGTTTTAATGTTTCTTAAAATTTGTATACCCGGGTGTTCGATAAGTCCCTGGACAGGACCTTTTTATTGATCACTTTAATTATCAAAACTACTACGTTTTTTTATTAGATCCTGTCCAGGGACTTATCAAACGCCCGGTATATGCGGCATAAAAATTATCTCCAATCCGATAACGATAAATTATTTCAATTGGTCATTACGTAATTTCTTTTGATTAGAAGGCCACACCCCCGTGATAAAATCAGTAGCCAATCATAAAGTTTTATTCAATATATAGAAGTGATAAATTGCTGACTCTCCCCCCTTCCCTAAAAAATTACGTAATAAACGGCACTCCCCTAATCATATTGATTAATAATCATGTGAATCACAGACAATGTGCTGACCAGTCATTTGTCTAATGACTCATTTCGGGTCATTTACTGTCACCGGCTACAGTACAGCAGTAACCAGAGAGATATTGTATGAGAAAAGGAGACATTATACAAAAAAATTAGCGTTATAACTCGCAATAGATTTAAATAACGATAATATGATTTATAGGGGGTATTATTCTATCCGTAGTTGCATAGATTGCATAGTATCTCGATATTGTACAAAGGAGTTACTTTATTAGGGTAGCGCTATACGGTACGTCATAATTATACCTGTCAATAGTAAATTGGACTAACTTGTGTGAGATTCATTATTGTACGAGTGTCAGCTTTAAATAAACAATGATGCCCATTGTGCCTTATTTCAGATTATTCTGTAAATAGAAAGTGGTTAATTATTATCCCGGAAAGGAGGTTGATAATCTTTAAAAGTGGCTGACAGTTAGTGAATTTTAAATTTTTCTCTTAACTCTGGTAGGAATAATACACGATCCTAATATATATTATATAAGTCATATCATTAAAACTCATTCTTTCGGACCTTTCGCAGTAGGATCACGTATAAGAATGCAGTCAGTTTATAAATTGGTATCAACTGTCAATCAATTTTACAGAGAAATAAATCCCGCAACGCTTTCGGGAGCAATTGATGTTATCGTTGTTCAGCAACCTAATGGTGATCTCGCATGCTCGCCGTTTCATGTTAGATTTGGAAAACTTTCCGTTTTGAGACCACAAGAAAAAAAGGTGTGTACTATTGCTATTTGTTGTTTGTTATTATCGCAGCTGAAGCAGAAATTTGAGATCTCGATTTGAAAGTATAAACCCTTCTAAAATCCACATACAGTATACACTTTTATTAATAATTATACTCCTAAATTTTAAACCAACTCTAAAGAAAAAAATTTCATATTAAAATAGGTCCAAATTTCAGCATCAGCTATAACAATGTTTTTGCAAATCATTAATTTTTTGATCCTGTATTATTTTAGGTTGAAATGACAGTTAATGGCAAAGTCGTTGATTTTCCAATGAAGATAGGAGAAGCGGGTGAAGCATTTTTTGTTTTCCAGACTGATAATATGGTTCCCCAAGAACTTCAAACGTCTCCGCTTGCAGGACCTACTGAATTTTCTTTAACTGAAGAGGTAATTCTTTTACTCATGCATCTAATCATTTAGTTCATTATAATACACTCATGCAAATTTTGTTTACTCTGAAGCCTGATTTTCTTGATCTGGGTGCCTCAAGCGCACGGGATTCACCAGTTTCGAAAGATAGTAGTAATTATTCAGAATTAATTAATTCGGTCTTTATATTCACTAATAAACTATCATTTCTAACAATTTATCTAACAATAGCTCAAATTTATGATTTTGGACGTAATAATATTCTTGGCTCTGGTATGAATTGATGGGCGGTATGCTGCTTGTAAATGTCTTAATATACATTACTAATTTTATACTGTTTTGCGGGATTGCTCTTTATTTAGACTTTGGTACGGAAGAAGGAGCGTCAGATCCAGAAAACGCTACTGATTTGGAATCAGCAATTTCAAATGCTGTAGTTCCTGTCGGTTTCACATCAGACGATGAAACAAACGCAGGCAAAGTAATTGTACAAATTGATTCTCTTGAAGAGGTTCACGAAGTCGAAAGAACCATTGTAAATGGACAGACGGATTCTAATACTGTGGAAGTTAATTTACAACAGCAGGTCTCAGAATATGATCACGGATCGAATATAATATCAACTGGTAATGTGATTTCTCTTAGCTTGAGATAATTTATTATAATTTCCGAATGTCTAACAATATACATTAACAAAGAAAAGAGCGAAATGAATGAAAAGCTTGACTATATATCTAGTAAACTACGAAATGAAGGTGTTGAATATGATAATGTTCAAACAAATGATATGTCTCATAATGACTCAGTAATCGGAGTTCGTTCTGATTTTCATCCTGGTAAGTTTCCGATCAGGTTTATTAACTAAAACCTATGAAAACAACAATAATAATGATTATTCAATGATTTATTATAGAATCTAAAATCGATATAACCGAACAATCATCCATTGATGATGGTGAAATACTTGAAGACAAGAAATCAAATAATGAAAGGGCTTTATCAATGCCGTTGGTTCATTCAAATTGTTCGTATGTTTTCTCTTAATTTTTTTAAAAGAAATTAGCAAGTTGTAATTTGACTTGGTTTTAAGTCTTTTAAAATGTGCCATTTTTTTCGTTTCTTTCTATATTGGCTTAAATAAGATTATATGAATATTTATCGTTTTGATATTAGAATTTACTTTTTATTACTTAATATTATATTCTGATAAAATTAATCTAAAAATTTTCACAAAAAATAGGGGGAAAATCTGATGGTCCCTTTTCTGACACAGAACTGGATGAAACACGAAAACCTGAAAAACCGTATTTATCGCATTTATTATGTTTAATACATATTTATATAATTCGAATTTCTTAATACTCATAGAATTATAATCATTAGGTCTGAGAGACGCATACACAGAACTAGCCCCTTAAGTGATACAGAGTTAGAGGTTCTAATCAGAATTCTGCTTAATTTCATTGAATTTTAAAGTATAATTATATTTCATCATTTATATTGTTAATAACATGTGCTATGACAATCTCATTTTCAGTACGAACCTGTGAATGATCCAAAAAATACTGCAGAATGGTCGTGGGGCTGGGGGACGCTACCTGTCAGAACATCTGATAAAATGGAACATTGGCAAGAAAGTTCTGATAACAAAGAATGGAAAGATCATGAAAAGCAAACCGAGAATACATCTGGAGTTCAGATTGGAGATAAAAATTATTGTTTTGAAATGTCACTTTGTGGCAGTGATACTTTTGGAAGGGATGAGGTTGGTTTCGATTATGCAATCATTTAAAATTGGTTTTCTTGTATTTACAATAATCTTGTATTTACAATAATTTTTTGTTTCTCACTTATCAGAAAATGGATGCTGAGTTATTTCGAAAGCACTTAATCACTTTTGAGAAATTTACAGAAAACCCACAACTTTTGAATGATAAAGCGCTGGTTATTAAATATGAAGATCGGTTTGTTCGCATACAGTTACCATTTTGTTATTTTAACGATGTTATCTTAAATACGTTATTGATATCATATTTATCTTATTCAGATACCTTACATGGGCCACGGCCGCACCATTGATTATATCTCTCGTCGTATTCAAAAAACCACTTCCCGATTCTACCATGACACTTCTGACCAGTAATCGATCCGAAGAGTTGAGGTCGAATAAACGAAAATATAGTTTACGAGGATTGAGTCGATGGTGGAGCCGTTCTTCGAGCCCGCAACCTGTAGACACTATAGAAGAGAGCAATGATGAAAAAGCACATAATAATACAAAAAATGTAAATTTTACATTTGGTTATAGTGATTTAAGATAAAGT